AATTTTAGGAAAAATTGAGTGATTTGATTGCTTTTGATGGCCGTTAATGAAATCTCATTATTTTTCATGTCATTTTTTACTTTTTTGTTGCTTGCTTTTGTTGTGGTTTGAATCAAACATTTGAATATATTCCAGTTTCTGATTTGATTTTGACCTAGGGACAGTTATGATCTCTATAATAAGGATCAAGGTAATACTCGAATACAGGATTTAGGCTAGTGCCATTTGTTGTTGTTGTTGATCGAATAGTTCATGTAAATGCACAGATATCTGAATCACTTTCAGCTTACCATTGTTACAATCTTTTTTATTAATCTTTCCCAAAAGATACATTAAAGTTGTTTTCGCGCTGTCGCATGCAGGCTTCCTAAAATTTAAATGCTTTTTAATATCATTTACAGATATTTCCGATTTTTTTTTTAATTTTCCGCTCTTTAAGCTCTAAAATCTGAAATAAGTAACATTAGCAAACTGACATCTTTCATATTATCGAGTTCCTGCTCTAGTTTTTCAGACCAAACCGTTAGGCATGCTAATGCATTCAAGAAAATCAGCAACTGAAGATACGCATACAGTGATGGTGTCGTATATGGATGATAGCCATTGCCGGCATCCACACCCTGAAAATTTTAACGCAATGCCAATTAAAATAATATTATGGGTACAAGTATTAGGTACTGCGTAACTCAAGAATCGTAACTGCTTGAGATCAATTCTATGTCAAAATAAGGATTGCACGAAACATACCTGCGATCATAATTCCGCTGTTTGAATGCCATTTTTTTCTTAGTTACATGCGAGTTTCCACATATGTTTATTTTTTCTATATAGAGTAAAACAATCTGTAAAGACGGAACCTGATGACTTTTAAGCTTGGTAGATCCAAAACGCGTTGCAGCAAAGGCCTGAGCTGTATAGACTGCATCTTCCCGCTGTAGTTCAAAATATGGCCGTCCACACTGAATAATTACCAATAAAGTGAGAAGCAGAAAGAAAAGTTCTTGTTAGGGAGAAATACACTCTTTAAAATCTCGGAGCTCACTGGTTTATTTTCCGCACCCAGACATCGATATTCATATTCGATGCGTAGCAAAGGACGTCTTTTCGTTTCTTGTCCATAACGACTTTTCGAATTGGGCGAGAAAGCGGAGCGATTGCGGGAACGGCGTACACCTTCTGAAACATTTTTTCAACGTTCTGAAGGGGAATAAATTTGGATTTCCAAATTTAACTTTAAGTAATACAAATTTCATGCAAGCCTATGTAGCATCTATAAATTGGTTTTGTATCACTTATCTTGGCTCTTAAGAAACAGAGTTCTTGGTTCTGGGTAGATTGTTTTGGTCTGACCGGTATCTGCATTGACTGCATTAACAGAGCCCTGCCGCATCTCAACAATCAAATTGTTGGGAAGAAGAGACTGCATTTCTGTCAAATCCATATATGCTTCTTCGGCTGCCTGAAAGCTTTCCGGCTTTTCTCTCGAAAAAGAAAGGACGAATCTTTCCAATCAGGTCCTTTCCGTTTTTTATATCCATTTAACATTTGTGAATTTATGAATGAAAAGCTGAAATCGAACTAGATGAACGGAAGCCAGTTTTTCTTAATGGACTTACATCTTGAATGAGAGGGTCACTTTTCCCGGCAACATTGACGACTAAATGGCAAATTTTTGGTGGACGAGACTGATCCATCAAGCGTTCCAGCAACCGATTAGCCAAGATCTCAGCAAATGTATCAATGCGGCTAAGGATTTATTAAGTAAAGCATACCATTTTACTTGAAGAAAAGTTTTTCCTTACAAATCTAATCCTCTCTTTTTTTTTTCATTTTGATTCGTTTTGCTATAAAAGTTTCCCTGTAGGGTGAGAAATGTTTTTGTTTTCCGTGAAGTAGTTGAAATTTAATGAGATTTTCCGAAGCGATATACCGACGAGGAATCGTTCCATACAAGAATGAAGCTAAGAAACCCACAGTCTGTTCAATTTCGACCAGCATCTCTGGAACAGTGATCGTCATCCTAATAAAAGAAGCATAACGGAACAAATCGATAAGCTGTTCGGAAATGAGCGTGCAAGTAAGTAATTAAATGAAGCAGATAAATGGAATCAAGAAGAAGAAATACATACGCACTGATTGGTTCACTAACCTATTTATTACATTTATTGCAGCAAAGGTGTGAAACACTGGCCGCTCAGTACAAAAGTTCCTACGAAAACTGCTCTGAACAGTATTACTTACTCGAACCTGAAAAATATGCAAATTCTTTTCTTAGATCAATAAATGAGCGAGATTCTGCTTATACACTTAAGAATGGGAGTTTTCAGAAATAACTGAGACACAATCCCAGCATTATAGTTTGCTTCTTCTTCGGCAATTAATTGGCTCGATCCATAAAGAAGAAATATCTTAAAAAGAAATATCCCAAAAATTTGTTAATACCTTTTGTCAGCAGTTAAATTCAAGCAATCCTTATACAATTTAGTAACTAAATTAAGATGTGGATAGTTTCCCCTAATTCATTGAATTCTCATTCTTTGTAACTGTCATAGATTATTTGAAAGTTATTACTGATGGATTCCAGTGAAGCAGATTCCATGTTTCATTTAAATTTTACCCTCATCTCTTTGTAATGTCTTCCTCAAAACTTTCCTCCGTTTGTAAACTAAGAATCCTATATATTATTTCGTCTCTTTATTTCAATCTTTACCAATTGATATCTCATGTAGTGACACTTTAACTAATAAATAATCATCGCTACTGCTCTGTGAAAAATCAACTTAAATTGTAGCGATCCTCCTTTCACTCAGAGTGAGCTAGTGTTCAACTGTGTAACATTCTTGTAATTCCCAACAAATGAGGGATATTGAATGACAAGTTAAAATTTGAACTAGGAGAATTGAATCTCGTGAAATGTTTCGTAGATTTGTTGGAATAACAAATGAAACGACAAGTTAAATGAAATCTTTATTTGATATATCTGCAAAACAACGCATTAGCAACACTTTCATCAGCAGAAAGATGACACATAACAGAATCTCACCGGTAATTTCGAAGTTCACAGTAATCTTCAAACAAATCAATAAATCTTGTCTACAACTTTCCTGAACAAAGTGTATATCATGCGTTTGAGTGTAGATGACAACTAATCAATATGCAAAGCTAATACACAACTTACCCATTTTTAAATAGGAAAAAAGATTAAAAACAGTACACGTTAAGAACACAATTACTACGAATACAAAGAACGTCTCATCTACCTGTTTGTGAGTTATCACGAACCCGACAGTTTCTTTCTGCCGCTGATCTTTGATACTTTTTATTTCACTATTTTTTCCACCTGACCCTAGCTACGAAACGTTTTCCTTAAAATTAAGAATTTTTTCACTCAATTTTTCATCAGCAAGCTAACAATACTAAACATTTGCAGTTTACGCTTACTCTTGCAACAGTCAATAAATGGATTACTGAAGTGAAAATTCCTTTGGCTTATTATATTACAAACGAAACTGAAATCTTTCACTTTCTAGAATTACATAACTTTAAGTTCTCCTCGTAATTAATGTCTTAAAAATATTAGGGCTATACAGGAACGATAAAAAGTAAAAAACAATGTAAAATTATTTGAGCGTCCATAGATTTGGAGAATTACGCTCAAACGAACTTGTTCTTAAGATGCATATATGAGCTCCGTCATATCAAAAAATTGATTTAAATAAATTCTCTATCCTTTAAGTTAGTTAGGGATGAGCTAAAGTCAATCATCAGAGTTGTTGGTAAAAAACATCTGAAAAGAATCTCAACAGAATGGAACGGCGGAATGACGGTGATTTGAACTTACCGGTATCAGAACCTGGTGAAAGCACAGCCACAATGCAGGAGTCATCCTTAACAATCTAAACACTAATTAATAACTTACACACTGACTACTTTTAATGAACAAGAAAATGCAGCAAATACGGTCGCACCAGATGCGTTATAATGCTCTGGTGGCAGTAGAAAAATTGAATTTAAGCGAATGTGATGTTCAGTAACTACTACAAGTGATTACCGCAAAAAATCACAGCACATGAACGCACCATAATGTCGAATATGAACGTCCTATATTAGACGCACGTGTATTCGACATAAATGGGAATTCTGACAAAACTATAGGTATAATGTTACCATAATATTCACTGAATTTGAAGTGATTCGAATAGCAAATAAAAAATTTAACTCTGAAAATTTCAAAATTCTTTGCGAAATTACCCGTAAACAATAAAAAGGATAAATGTCTGCTGAATTAATTTGTGTACAACACAGCTTAGTGAATTCTATCCAAAAAGAAAAAAACCAGTGACAATACTGAACACAGAGTAAAAAAATGAACTCATTTCTTGCATTGGTAACCATTTGATTAAGAAACAATACCTCAAATTGTTCTAGAAAACTGATAAAACGAATAAAAATAAAGGAGGCAGTGGATCTTGATGAAGCCGGCCCAAACAGGACAAATAAATAAAAGCTTACTGCCATTTTACTGCGATCAATTATTTATGATTTGCATCAGCAGACAAGAGCAAGACTAACAAATTTATTTCGATTTTCTGGGAATTATTCGCCTAAAAAATTGAAAAATCAAAATTTCGTGATTCTTGAATTAAATCTTAGACCTGTCAGTCTATTAGTGAACGCCGCTCTTACGTTCTTATATTACGTAAAAGATAAAAGCAATGCAAAATGTTATATAGCCCACTGGTATTTAAAGGCCCAAGAGATTTTCATGTTTTGCTCCAATCCTTTCTTATGAAAGTTTTTTAAAAAATTGGAAACAAACAAGCAAATAAAAGAAATTTAAATTAACTTGTGCAACCATCAATTTACTTGATTTTTTTCTATCTTTAATATAAAATACGAGTTGAAAGAAGCATATTGCTGTTTAGAAAAGCAAATCATATCCTGTGGTGCTTCTGCAGATAGGTATCTCTGATGCACTATAGCTCAGTACAGTAAACTGATCAGTTCGTAATCTTTTTGTCATGGAGATAAAGCGAAGGAGTTGAGTGGGACGACGAATCGCTCGGTGTTGCAATCATTGTGCTAGGCACAACAAAGAGATCAGGCTTACTATTATGACAAATAACTCCTGGACCACCAAGCGGAGGTTGCCACAATTCATAATCCAGTTTTGTCAGTTCATCTTTGATCATTGATAACACAGTTGCTGACGTATCTACAAATAATTATAACTAAAATATTGGCAAATAACTAAATGCACATAAAGCTGAAGAGACTGAGAAAGTTTAGTGAGTAACCTCAAACTAATCTCGTAAAAGATTTTAGGTAACAAACTTGATTACCTAAAATCATAGAAATCATAAAAAGGGAATGAAATATTGTGACGGTAAGGTAAAAAATAATTAGAAAAAAAAACAAGAGAGAGGCACTAATTTCAACACATTTTTTTCAAACATGACCTCCTCCAGTATTCCCACAATTTCCTCTTGTAATATCTATGCAGTAAAAAAGTTATTCAATTAGTCTAATTCTTTCCTCTTATCACGTACAGCAAAAAGCAGATAACTCCACATTATACTTGAATAATAAGTTTGCGAGGAATGCATTTCATAGAAATTAATTGCAAATGAATTTTGTGATACCTGGTTTTAAGAAAGCAAAAACGCTTCCACCACCACCAGCACCAGTCATTTTTGGATGTATTCCATACCGTGCAAGTAATGTGCAAATCTGGTCAATTTTTGGATGACCAACACCAAGTGCAATTAGTAACTGATTGTTTATTCGACATAAATCCTGAAATAACATATGTTACGCAGGATCCATAATATATACGTAATGAAAATGTAAAAACTTTTTTATTGAAAAACGAAGTGATGAAAATGAGAATGTTAATTTTATCTTCATATTCCTATTTTCCTTATTACTATTACCGTAAATGGTGCATGAACTAAGAATAAAACGCATATAGTTCAGGATAAAATTTTTTGAAGTAGTTAAGGACTGTGTTTTTAACACAATTTTGACATGCAATTTTTTGGAACAAGCGTTGCACGCAATCATCTGTTAAGGTTAGAGAAGCACCAAAACAACAAAGAAAAAAAAATGAATTAGATTTTGCAAAAATTCAAGAGATGGTCGAAAAAGTGTTGATATTAAGAATAAGAAAAAGGGAATCAAGGAACACAGTTTGGCAACGAAATTAAAATTTAAAACATGATTTCTTTTTCCGTACAGCTTACATTGAGCTTGGAAAAGGAATCGGCAAGCTGTCCTCGCTCATGTTTCTCCGAATTAGCACCCGAAGTACCACTAGTTGCGGAAGCGTTACTATTACGTTTACCACCAGCAGCATAAGAGCTCTCTTTCGGTAAATGTACTCCACTAGTCGGCTGTTGATGTTGCTGAGAATGTCCACTAGACTGCAAAATTCACAGAAACGCTAGTAATTTAAACCTTTTCAGAAAAATCAAACAAGAAAAAATTATATGAGCATATTGGCCAATGATTATTTCGGTAATCAACGAGTTAAATATACGACAAGTTTCAGTGTATAATGGAAATTAATAAATAATAGCTTCCAAATTTCTTGAAACTATTTAAGATTCGGATCTATAAAATTAAAAAAAGTTTAATTTGAAACTTGATTCAAGGTTCACATTCTAATTATTGGTTAAATAGCAAATCTAAAACTAAAAAAAAGCAACTGTTCTCGAACATAAAAACACAAAATATAAAATGACGTCGGCGAACAAAATTTTTATATCACCGTGCATTCTCGTTTAAAGAACTGAAAAAATCATCTCTGATAAATCCATTAGATGTTTAGTAAATCGGTTAATAAAACACTGCTAACTAAATCAGTTCTGCAAAGCTCCAAAACAAATATTCTTCAAGTCCGGAAATTTAAACTTGTAATTATAAACGCATGGTTAAGGCTCTTAGTTATAACGACCAGTTTTGAATTAAGTTAACAAAAGCGCAAAACATGCATGTTTTTATTCATCAAGTAAGGAAACTAATCGTGCTGATAGCAAACATCTGAACTGAAATTAAAATTTTTTGATTGCTTATTTCGATTATTTTGCTGCTGCAAAATGCAAAATTTTATTAGAACTTATTGCAATTAACGTTTCTTTCGTATGATATCTATATTTACAGCATCGCATTAATCCTAACAAGATGCTGAATGTATTAGGAAAGAAACAGAAATGGCGGTGGAGATAACAGAAATGTTGCGCGGAACGAACGGGAAGTAAAAGAAGAGTCAACATACAGATACTGATCTAAATTAGAAATAAACCTATTTGTAGCAAAACTTCATTCAGTATTAAATTTTATATGAAATTAATGATTTTCATGAAGTCAGTTTCTACTAACTGATTTCCTCGAAAGAAAATTTATGTTTTCGTTGAAAGGAATCACGCAAAGTAATTTATGTTTTTTTTTTATCCGGACTAGTTCTAATATAATTTCAGCAACATATGCAGGAAAGCTTAATCCAATACCAAAAACTCAAATTTGAAGTTAAATTCGAACCTGAATTCTGTAACTTAAAAAGCAAACATCATGACAGAACCGCACATCTATTTTTCCTAGATAAAAGAGGAAAAATTCTCCGCAATGAATAAGATTAATTAAAAATAAATTAACGATGATTTTACAAATACTGTTAATCCTTGTCTTAGAAAGAACACCAAACTGCTACGGCGCATATCGAAGACTGATTTACAAACGAAATTTTTGGGTTATGTCAGTATGTTCTTCTAATCAAATAGTGCCGATCATTTATAATCTGCATTCAAAAAAAAAAAAAAAAAATCGATTACGAAAACATTTACTGAAAAAATTCAAACCTAATTTGAAATACAAGGTTCTGTTATGACTTGTTAATCCAAAATACCAAATTACTATCTTTATACCAGAATAACAAGTATTAATATTCGATTCCACTTTAACATCAATGTTGGAGCATTAGGGTACACCAAACAGTTCTTTGACATCAATACAAAATAAATGATGGGTTTAATTCTATCGATAATATGACCTTAATATTATTTGTCACAGTCCAGAGAAAAAAAAAAAACATCAGTAAGTAACATTCATTCTTATTAAAAGATAAAAAAGGAAATTACTTGCAAAGATTGATGTTCACCATCGGCACAAGCCGTAATAACTGAGTTATTACTATTACCACCATTTGAAACCCTTTCGTCGCCACCATTTTCTTCTGGTGGACGATGCAGAATTCTTGCCGCATCACGTGAGATAGCATCGATAGCATTGAAAATTGATTCAACAACATCCGGGAACTCAAATCAGTACTTCTTATTTAAGATCAATTTTTTCAACAATGGAGTAAAATCTAAAAAGGAAAAAAAATTAAGGGAATACTATATTCCAGAGTTTGTAAACATTATGCAGCAAAAATGATCTACTGTACTTCCCCAGTATAAAGTTGCCGCAGCCTAAAAAATAGATTTAAAAATACATACCACAGTTGATTAGTAAGATTTTCGAACTATATTTCTTAACCTATACCAAACTGGCTGTTGTAAAAATCTAAACATTCTTACCTTCTTCAACCGCTCCTTCACTGTTTGTACCATTCGTGAAGTATTTCTTTCAACTCTCGAATTGACCAATATTACCCTGAGGTCGGGAAGACTGAAAACATTATGATCTACTTTTTCCGCCATTATAATCAAAAGAAAGCCCAAAATCTCCAGAATACTTTTAAAATATCAATTGCATTAGAAGGACAGTAGGATGCAAGCAATGGTGGAAAAAAAATGAAAACTTACTTCCTTAAATGTTGAATACATGTCCCAGGTTTAAAACATGCAACACCACCTAGAAAAGATAAAAAATCACTAAAAATTTTTGAAAAATAAGAAATATTATCCCTAAAAACAATACTAATATAGCAAAAAGTAAAGTCGAAAATTTAAAAGTCTTGCAAAAGTAAAGTTATAAATTTACATCGAGATGCATCCTTGAATTTATCTACAAATTTCGATCGTAACGTAATTTATGAAAAATTAAAAACAAACAAACCGTAAGTGCAAACGGCCGCATCAAGTCCAGAAGCTCGCCCATGTATCAGTGACTCAGCTGCAGCTGACCATTTTCTGATCATGTCTAGATGATGGTCTTCCCATGTCAGTGATCCTTCGTCATTTACCTGTATGAACCGAGGATCAACAAGCATACAAATGATATAAACAGATAAACTAAGTTGCAGTCCAAATTAATCACTGCTCTCCAAATTCCAACAACTCTGTGATAAATGAAATGTTGAAGAGAAAAATAAAAACTTCGCTGCAAAATTATTAACAAACGTTAATGCTTTCTACCGAAAGTGATTACATGAAAAAATACGTTCAATTGGTAAACCTTCATTTTTTCTAAATTCGGCATTAAATGAATTAAAAAAGGTCCGAACGAACTTTTGATGCCTATTTGAGGGAAACAATTTATCAATTACTACAATTTTCCTACTATAATGTAAAAATATTCCAACAATTTGTAAGGTTAAATATGAGCTAATGGTCGAAATTAAACCTGCCGCATTATACGTGGTAGTTAAACCACGAAGCAGTTTAAAGACTTATTTTTAAGGATAAGAATAATAAACAACAAAAAAAATGGAAAAAAAAAAGCTCACAGGGATTGATGGGGCAGGAATCAAGCCAGCTGTTTGCAGCAGTGCAGCTGCAACGCAAACACAGTATGCTCCTGAATATCAAATTTTCAATACAGAAAATGAACTGAACTGAAGTCAACACAAAAATTTTTTGAGTTCAGTTAGTATCAGTTCTGTGATAGAATGATAAATTTCATTTTATTTCGAAGTAATACTGTGATACTGTATTACCTGACGAGCCCAGACCAACACAAGAGGGAAGTTTGAAGCGAATAGTAACTTTTACGGCAAGAATATCCCTGAAACAACTACTGAAAGTCCATATTTATCAATTACCCTAGAGAAAAAATTTATAATATAGCAATATTTATAACTAAATACATCAGATAAAAGGCAGGCAATAGTCAGTAATGCATAAAATTACTTAGAATATGCCATTAAAAAAAATCCTGTATAAATATTTCTGCATTACTTTAAATACTTGAATAATAAGGAATTCTCCAATTTAAGGACAAACTTTTTTCGTTGCACAACACCGAGAAGAAGATACCAGAAAGCTAATATTGCCAAATGTTGTACACCACATTGATCTTCGCATGATCCGCTTAGTTTTCGCGCTATAGGCACAAGTAATTCGAGGGATGGTGGCGACCCGTCGTCAACCGTGTATTCTGAGTAAAATGAACAAAAAAAAAAAAATGAATATGATAGATGTATTTTAATGAACTGGGAAGTAAAATGGAAATTAACTCATTTTGAAATCTTTCTTATAATAACCAAAAAGGTATAAAAAGTGCATATAATTAATACTAAAAAAGTTTCCGGAATGAAAAGCACAACACTTTCTCTTTCCTTCTATGAAAAAAATTCCCCATTTGAAAAGGCATTATAAACATCCAGTATTTTTTAATCAGATATAAAACTAAATGTGTAGATGTGAATAACTTCCGCACATTTATTTTCCGTCCAATTACTATTTCAGCTTATTTTTATGATGCAGTCTGATTAAAAAAAAAAAAAAAAAAAAAAGAGGGAATGAAAAAACAAACCAGAAAGACGTTCTCCAGCTCTCAAAAGATCCTTTAGTAACCAAGTTTTTTCAACACCAAGAGCAGGTAATGACAAATATATCCTGCCATCCGCCGAAGTGAATAGGCTAACGTAAGTGCGCAAGTCTATAGAGCCAGCAACTGCCGTCTATAACAAAACATGCAAACTACATCTTTTCAATCAATATTTATGCACATGTAAACATGTTATTTTCAGTAAGAGTTTTCAATCTATCACACAAATAGTACATGCATGCTACAAATGAGCAGAAATTGTTGATTAAAAGTTCAACCCCAAATATTGATAAATATTACTCGTGATATTACATACTATACTTATTAACATTCTAAGATGCAGGATAATAAAAGTTTTGGTTTCTGTCTCTCTCTTAAGCTATCACGTTGAATTTTCTTCCGTAATTAACTCCAATATTTCAAATATTCAACTAAACTCAAAATTAAAAGATGCAATTTTTGAAATCCTGATTAAAATATTCACAGGGCTTATCTTTAAAAAGTAACTAGGAATGAAAAAAAAAAAAAAAGAAAGATGAAACAAACTCTTCCATAAACAACAGCGTGTTCACCAAATAAAATAATCTTCCCGGGGGCACTTATATATAATCCACCGGAGGAACTCGACAAAGATCGCATTGGCGATGCATGCGTGCTGCTGTTAGCCGTCAAAGGATGCGATGATGATGCCGGTGAATCGTGGACTGAAGTTGGTACAAAAACATTAAGAAATTCAGCATAAAAATTGGATCTTCGTGCTTTCAAACAAACAGTTCTCGATGTGTCTGAGAAAATTAAAAAACTAAAAACAAAAATATTAAATTCAAAATAGTTTCGCAAATCATTAGATGGAGGATACCGATAATTCCAGACAAAGAAATATGAACAATTGAGATTAACAGCTAAAACAAAAACGGGAGAAGAAAGAGACCTACAAACCTTGACGGTGTAGGCTAGAGAACTGCAATGGTGCAAACAATTCAGTCAGATAGTAATTCTGTCAACTCGTAACTTATCCTCTTCAAAATGACAAAAGATGTTTGCTTAGGACAAGGATGAGGCAATTTATCTCTCATCAAATCATTACTTCTGCACACAAACTCCCTAATTCTAAATAATAAAACATTACGTATAATATAAGGTGTGCTACCTAAGGAATATGGTGTTATGTAATCAGGAGTTATACTTCTAACGGAAGAGGAGGCGGACAGTGTCGAACTTTCAGCAAAGTACTTCACTTGCAACAACAGTAACTTTTATGACTTCATCTCAACCATCTCAGCAGCTAAAACAATAACGGCAAGAAAAAAGAGACTTATAAACCTTGACGGTATAGGTCTTAAAATCAATAATAATTAATAACTGTGTTTGAAAGGCTTAGAAAAAGAATGGAAAGAAGAGAATGAAAAATGGCAATTATATTTAAAGAACATTTTTCTTCAGAAACTGGTAAGTGACAAAGAAGATATCTATCAATAATAATTGATAACTCTGCGTGAAATTAGCTGAGAAACTCAATAAGTTCGTTTCTTCCTTACAAATTTAGCTAGATATTCTGGCAAAACAGTTGTTTAATTTGGAGCTGAAGAGTAACTTTTTCCAAAAGTCCAATTATCTTTTTTTAACATCCCTTGTCTCTTCAAGAATGAAATAATTAATTCATTTAATGAATTCAATACCGACTGTCTACCAATATCATCTATCAGTCAGTGAAGATAGACGAATCGAACTGCAACAACAAGTGATAAGTGTGGGGTTTTTGTCCATATTGGCATAAAGCAAAAGGTAACTAAAATAAAGTTCAATGCATGAAATGAGAAGCACTTCTATCTCACGTATAAGTTAAATATATAAGCAATAAAATAAGGCCTAACTCACTACCTTCCTTCATTTGAAAAAACTGAATTAAAAAAAAAAATGAATTCGAAATTATCAGCGCAATGGAACGGGAAGTAATAAACTTGTGCATATCATTAAATGCATTGTTAGAATAAAAGTGTCGTGAAAAATGAGGCAGAAGTATAACAACCAAAGGAGTAATATATACACAGTACCATATACGTAGACAGTATCATTAGAGACCTAACTTATTCATTAAACAGCAATCTATCCATCAAAACCTATAGTTTCTTTTGTCTTTCTTAGAAATTCAAAAAAAGATTAAATGATATCAACAAAGAACGATGAAGAATGGAATAAGGCTAGTAATATAATGAAAAACTGTTAAAGAGTAACAAATCATATGCAGATTAGTCAAATTAGTAAGAAAAGAAGGAAATAGAAGGAATGAATATCAAACATCAATTAGAGAAGTTTCTTAGCTAGAACTGAAAACATCAATATGTACCGAAAGAACATAAAGGTGAAGTTATTAGGGAAAATAAAAACCCAAACTCTGATAATATATTGCAAAAAAGATAAAGAAACTTGAAGTTACATACAAGACTCAACATATGAAGAGTTGTCTTCCACGGACGACGTTGTAGTTGTAATCACGGACGTTGTAGAGCTAGGCTGTTGCTCACGTCCTCCTCCTTCCATAATACGTAATACTTGTACTGTCCTGCCCTCTCTTCCTCAGCTATTAGTACACTGCAACGCAGCCATTTTACGGATGTCAAAAGTGAACAGACTAATTTATCAAATATCAACCGGAATCAACGACTGGGGTCAAATAACAGATGCTGACTCTCATTTCAGGTTAGCAACAAGTCATTTGTACTACCCACTGATAAGCAAATCTTCAGCAACGAGTATAATCACTGTTGAAAAAGTTTGATAAGGCCCAACTACTACCAATAATAAGCGAAAACCGACAAATGCTTTCCTGCAGTTCACTGTTTCTGTTCAAATGTGTAAAGTACTCACTTACATACACAGACAAACAGAACAGACACACATTCAATACACACAGACCCCTGCTCTCCTATAGACAGACACTACTTGTATGCCCGTATTCTGCCCGAGCCAGAATTGAAGACCTTACCCATCTTTTATTCGGATTTTTTCAAATCGAACTTTGTAGAGGACAGCTGGTCAAATAAATAGGCCTTGAAATGGGTTACAACTGTCCATGTGTGTGTCCCATCTCATTAAACTCATCTCTTCATCACATCCACTGAAAGACCTTTTCGACTGTTCTTTCAATGAATTAATTATCCTATCTAACATTAATTTAATTAATTGAGCAAACATATGCTTCACGTATACCATATGTAAGCAGTTGGCATAACAAAATCACTAACACAGCATTTCTAGAATACATTGAATGAACACTTCAACTGCTAATTTATTTTCCGGATGAAAAGTTTGTCAAGAAATGGAAAGCCTATAGGAATAGAGTGGTTAGTATTGCTGGACAAATTGATTTTAACATAGAAACGCCTTTATAGAATATGAACGACGGATGTGCAGTCTACATTGTTTGCAGATGTGCCACGTCGTTTCGTATGGTTGTAATTGACTGCACAAATTTCCTTTTCCGAAAAGATAATAAAGTAATTGCAATAATTCGCATATTCTGGCACCATGTTGATGTGATATTTAATTTTACGCCGCCTACATCAAAAACAACATTAAAATTAAACCTAATCATTGTAATTGTAGAATAGCAAATATTTTATGAAGATTATGCCTTGTGAATAATTAGTAATTAATTATAGCCAGCTTAGGAGTACGTGAATTGTAATCAATTTTGGGAAGTGTCCACTGATTACGACAAATGAAACTGATAATTATAAAAATAATGTGTCAGTGACGTAGCGATGACCGTGTTTACTGCTGAGCAGCAATTCCCAAAACTCATTCTAGTTGACTTGGCGTGCCAAGTGATTTTCAAGAAATGTTAAATGGAAAGAGGAAGGGAGTAGAGGAGGAGAAAAAAATATTGATAAAGAGAAAGAGAGAGTGTGTCATTCAAGCAACAAATTTCAACTTAAGGCACCCATCCCATTAGCATCTTTTGCTTTTGTTAATATATGCCCTGATATTTACGCTTTCCCGAAATTCTCGAAAGGGAAACGATGTGAAAAAGAGAAAGGAAGAAAGTTGGAATGAGAAAAAAAGTTTGTACATCCATGGGCCATTAGGCTTACTAACAGAATGTAGCTAAAGAGAAGAAGTCAAGACTAAGGAAATGAATTATGACTTTAGATTTTGGATGAAAGAATTTTCCCTCCTCTTCTTTTTACTCTGTCCTCAAATTCACGTTAAGGATTTACTTTTCCTGTGCTTTAATGACATCTTGAAGGGAAAAGAAATATGATTCAGAGAAATGAATATCGAGAATGGAAAGTAAAGTAAAATAAAATGAATAGTGGATTGAAATTGAAAATTTTCTGAAACTTATGGTGTGTAATTACAAGAATATTTATAAATTAAGTTCACCTTTTTTCAATAAAATAATTGAATAAATTTTAAGAAGTGCACTATAGACTAGGCTTATCATTTCAATCTTAGATCCTGCACAATTACAATAATGGTAGCCTTCCAATAGTTATCGCCAGTTCCCCTTGAATCTCTGAGTTTTCAACTTTGCTCTGCTTAATTTCTGAAGTTTCAACATGTCCACTTACTATTAAAAGTCTTAAAGTTGAAAACCAGATTTTGATATCCATTTGTTTGCGAAACTTTAAATTTTACAGTCAAGTGAAATTAAAATTTTTCCGTGCATTCTGAAAATGATTCACTCTGACTCACTGATAGTTCTGGATAGAATCAAATATTTTGATAAAATCAAATAAAAAACAAAAAATTCTTTTGAGAATTTTATTTTCTTTTTTATTTTCCAATGAAATTAAAGTCAGCAGGATGAAATGAAGTTCCTACTTTTTACGTTACTCATATATCGCTTTTCATATACTGTGCTGAATTTTTCCTTTTCCAGTCATTCTATTTAATTTGATTTACTTTGGATAAAATTAAATTTTACAATATAAAATAACTGAGAAAAAGAGAATTTATTAAAAAATAGAAATTCTAAGAATTGCAATACTTTCGAGATGAAATTTAGAACACAGGAAAATACTTTTATAACAAGAAGTTTTTAAACATTCAGCCATGTTTTGGAACTTTATCAGTTGGATTGCAAGCGATAAAACTGATAGCTAAATGAACTAGATGTGAACGGAGATGACAGTATATTGTATTCAGAAGCTGCCACTATAAGATCACAAATGCATCACTAATAAAAGATCAGATTTATAACTCGAAAAAATATATGTAAAATAAAAAATTGAGTCATGCAATTTCTTTTTAAATATCATAGTTTTTTCACGATAAACTTTTTGCATTAACATGAAGGCTATTGGATTGCTATAAATCCTTTGAATGTATTAGTTGCTCAAAATTAATCAAATATGAGGATTTTGAAATTATGGAGTCAAAATCTGGTAATGTCTCATTAAAAACATCATTGAAACTGCATCGATTTGTTTCTAGGTCAGTTATCTTAAATTTCCGAACCAATAAGTCCCAGATAATCTTTAAACTGGAAGTGAAAATGGAAAGACTAACTTTAAGTTAAATAAAATTCAGTGAATGAACAAGACTGGATATTAAACTAGATAAGGTGTTTAAATTGAAGTGGAACGTTTGTAATAATGATGTTTTGGTACCAAATGCAAAGATAAGTGATTTTC